CTTGTCTGGTGGCGTTACGGGGGTTGTACGTTCCCAGGCTCCCGGGAAACAAGCCCCCCTGCTACAGCCAGCCCTCGCTGTAGGGTGTCGGGAATTCAGGCAGCTTCCACACAGGGTGGCCAGGAGCCCGGCATGGAGATCCCTCAGTGGTGCAGGGTCTTGCAAGGGTTCGGCCCTTGCTCAGACCCAGGCATGGCAGACCCGGGCCAGCAAAGGGTGCCCTGTCCCACACCTTCCTCCTGCCTTGGTTGGCAGGGGGAGCTTGGACAGGACACAACTCCTTTCAGCCCACCCTCTGGCCCGCTTTGGAGCTTGCCCATGGGCTCTCTCCAGCTCAGTTCCCCAGCTCTGTAACAGGGTGCTTCTCACTCTCCAAAAAGCGTTTGGGAGGGGACAGGGCAGGGAGCTGCCCGGAGATGGGACCAGGCAGGCAGCTAGTGGGACCAGACCTCTCCCAGGCCCAGGTCTTGGGATCTCCATTGCCAGGGACTGACCGTGCTGAGCCTCCTCAGATGCAGAAGGCTGATACTTCTATGTCTTATTTAAGAGAAACTCATAGTGCCTTATTGGTTTTTAAATATGCATTTTCCCAGCCTGACCCCAGCTGCCCTTGAAATAATACCATTGTGCAGTGAAGCTCTACAGGGAATTATCATCTGAGCTCTCTCTCTCTTTGTCACTAGAGTCAATTAAAAGCAGAGTAGCTGGTGATTTAATACCTCCGGTGTCTGAGGAAGCCCCACATCCATCCAGAGGCGTGCTCTGGCATTTTAGACACATAATTGGAGTGGAGGAGTGTTTTTTCCAGCCATCCAACATGCTTTCAAATTAATCCATGTCCATACAGAGCACTGAAGCCTCATGTCCTTGGCTTGTCATCTTGTCCTGCATATTAATTAATGTCCCAGCATTGCACATTCTCCCTGCGATATGTCCCACATCAAATTGTTTTCCTATTCCCCACGCACCTTCTCCCTTGGGATAAACCCAACACATTTAGTCTCTGAAGAGGGTCCAGGCTCACAAACTGCCCACCCCCAGGAAATGCTGCTTACAAATGACGTTAAGCTTCCAAGAGCTGGAGAAACTATTGCCTCCAGCTCTCCACAACCACCTGGAAATTTAAACTGGGCCCAATCCCTCTTGCTCCAGTGCAGAGCAGGAGGCCGGTGCCCGGCGGGTACAGGCAGCAGTGCTGGGGGGCCCCAAGATGGGAGCCTGCAGCAGAGACTCCCGGTGAGAGTGAATAGCAGAGGCTGAGCTCATTTATTCTTCCTTCCTTACAATCTCCCTTTTCTTTCCATTTCACCACCTTCTTATTTAACATCATCGGCTGTTGTGCAAAACCATCAACCCTATTTGCAGCACTGTGACCTACTTTACCGCGTCGGCCTGACTTCCTCGCTGAAATCGCAAGCTCAGAGCCCACCCAAGCCATTCAGCGTTTCTCAGCTGAATAACAAATCCAATTAGGTGGAAGAAAGCCTGCCTTTCACGCTGTCAGCGCCTGGACATCTCACTTCCCTCTCCCCAGCGCATGCTGCACCACTGATGGCCGTGTCTCACGGACACCGCGGACAAGGACCCCTCTGTATTTTTGTGCCCCCCCTCCAAATGAGGGTGGGGGAAGGGTTCGAGAGGACTGATCCTGGCTATCCGATGTGTCCTTTCATTACTCCCGACAGCCCCTGGGGGCCTCAGAGCTCAAGAATCAAATAATTTACGGTTTTTCAGTTCTGGCTCTCTTGGGAAGCCCTCCCTTCCCAGCTGAGGCTGGAGGAATGGTCCAGGGCCATGCCAGGATGGCATAGCTTGTGCTTGTTAAAAAGCAGCTGGCACTTTCAGCCAGGACGTGATTTAATGACGGATAGAAAGTCCTGTCTCTCAGTCCCAGCATCACACCTAACCCCAGTCTGGTGGCTCCATCCAGAGAAAACATTGCAGTTCTGCCCTTTGCTGCTCCCC